ATTAATCGAGTTACTTGAAATATGATTACTCAAAAAAAATAATTTTGCTCGTTAAAAGAGTTTGCTTTGGAAAATGCTTATTTTTTTTTTTACATTCTGTATATGAAAAACATTTTTTTGTTTTAATTTAAAAAAAAAAAACAACGTTGTTTTCAAAGTATCAAGGAACTTTAACTACTTTATACATATGTAAAAAGTTGAAATTTTGATGACTCATTTTACTCGAAATGTTGATTAATCATAAAGCAAATTACTCAAATATTTTTGTTTTTGGTTAATCANCTCAAACTAGTGGGCAAAATACTAAACACTCCTTTCATTCGTTTATATACTGTATATTTTTATATTTATGCATTTGTAGTTTAAACGAAATTTTCGCGTTGAACGTGAAAGTGCGGAATATTTAATTGCAAAATATACCAGCAGTTCCTACTACGTAAGGAGAAATTACAAAGGGGGGAGACCACAAGCACCACCAAACACGCATGTGTTATTGTTTTTATGGTAACAATGGAATGATTGCTATATGTATGTATGCACTAATTGTAAATATTTTTCTTATTCAGGTTTTGCAGCAATAAAACAACTATACGCGAAGTTAGCAATCTATTTAATATGTCATGTTCTTGTGCACATAACGTGCTAAACAATGTTATGTCGTTTCTGCTTGAGCTTTCACCGAACATCATAAAATTCCCTCGAAGTGCTGCTGAAAAAGAGACTATAGCAAACGATTTTGCGGCAATCTGTGGCTTTCCTAACGTATTAGGCTGCATTGATGGAACCTACATCTCGACAAGGGCGCCGAAGCATAAAGTTCGCACAACATATATAAATAGGCACGATACCATTTCCGTGACTATGCAGGGTATATGTGATGCAAATTTAAAATTTATAGATGTTTTCACTGGTGTGCCAAGTAAAGTGCATGACTAGCGTGTATTGAAGTTATCCTTCATTGGTAAGGAACTTCAAAAGCTTTGTCTACCAAAATATCATCTGTTAGGTGGTTCTGCTTATCTGATCCGAAATTACTTGTTAACGCCATATAGGGATTACGGGAATTTAACTGAGCAAGAAAAGACGTACAATTGCAAATTTTGTCAAACTCGGGTTCGAATAGAAAACACCTTTGGATTGTTGAAATGTCGCTTCCGGCAACTGATGCGATTAGATTTTCATGAAGTTGAAACTACAGCGAGTTTATAATGGCATGCTGTGTACTGCATAAAATTTTNATCCGAAATTACTTGTTAACGCCATATAGGGATTACGGGAATTTAACTGAGCAAGAAAAGACGTACAATTGCAAATTTTGTCAAACTCGGGTTCGAATAGAAAACACCTTTGGATTGTTGAAATGTCGCTTCCGGCAACTGATGCGATTAGATTTTCATGAAGTTGAAACTACAGCGAAGTTTATAATGGCATGCTGTGTACTGCATAAAATTTTCATAGACAAACAAGATGTTATTGAGCAAAATCTTCCATCCGAAGTAAGTGACTCCGTTCTTACCGAGCTTGGCGAAATAAAAAGAAGCCAAGTAAATAAATAATTAAAAACAGCTTTTTCTTTTATTTAATAAAAACGTTCATATTTATTGCAAATAAGGGAGATTGTGTTTATTTGATTCAAAAAGGAACAAAGTAATTCAGTACTCTAGTAATAATTCAGTGGTAATTTAGTACCCAAGAAATTCAGTCTTATTCAAAGTAGTTCAATAGGAACGTACAAAGATATGTACAGTATCGGCCATATCTATAGCTCGCCATTTCAAAATAATATTGTTTGCCACTTATGTTTATTTATTTATTTTTAAGAATTTTCAAAGAAAATACAGTTCTTTCTCTAACAAAACCCATATAAACCAAAGTTTAAAAATTTGTATAAAACTACAAAAAAGTGCAAGCAATTTTCACCTAAATTTCAAACTTTTTTCTCAGAAGCTCCAGAATTTTTTTGAGTACACAGTTTTATAGCGCATTTAATTTCAGACTAATAATGTGTACGTTTCAAGTGGCTAAAATTACCGTTGATTTTTTAGAATTTTTGCGCGGAAGGTGTTGCGGGTTTCTGCCATATAAAAATAAATTGTGTTTAGTCGTTATATGGAAGAAAATGAGACAAAAAAATCTAAAAAATCAACGGTAGTTTTTAGCCACTTGAAATTGAGCTATAAAACTGTGTATTCCGAGAAAAAGGTTTGAAATTTAGTTGAAAATTTTTTGCACTTTTTTGCAGGTTTCTACAAATTGTCAAACTTGGGTTTATATGGGTATTGTTAGAGAAATAACTGTATTGTAATTGAAAATTCCTAAAAATAAATAAATAAACATAAATGGCACACAATATCACTTTGAAATAGCGTGCTATAGGTATGACCGATACTGAAGGTAATTAAAAAAATTATGGGTATCGCGAGAAGTAGTAACGTGTTGAATCATACAATATTACAGCTGCTTATAAGTTTAGTTTTTAATTCATGAAATTACATACATATATGTATGATTTTTAGACGTTATTAAACGTTATAACATCTTGTGGATCCCTTTACTGTATTTACATATTTTGGTTTGGAGGCTTTAACAGAATATAAAATAAGTTCAAGTGATTTTCTCTTTCTGGTCCAACGCAGTGTTCGACAAATTGTAATTGTATTGTAATTTATAGAATTTATACCAAATTCTACAATACAAATACGAATGGTTTATATCATGATAAAAATATTACAAGGTAAATTCATTCTCTCAATTCGTCGGCCATGATTTTTTTCTGACGTTTGCCAATATTTTAAAATTATATAAAATTGAGAATAAATTGTTCATTACATGGAACTATGTTGGCCTTTCCTTGGTGAATTGTAGTAGGTATATTTCCATGGTGAATGTAGACAGATGCTGGTTTAGTTTTCTGGTAATGACATTCATATAAAAGCAGTTTCTACAGTAAATAGATACATCAACTTCACTACTTACTTATTTTTGTTAGTACCTGATTCTTTTTAGTGCCGGTATGAGGTAAGTGGATAAGGTCGCCAGGCGCTAATTCCATCGGCATCTTGCCGCGCTGTTACGTACCTAATACAAAACAGTGCCCAAATTATTATACATTTAAAAGTTCAGCTTAAATTATGTTTTACTTACATAGAATATTTGTTTCCAAAGAAGCCACACCCATTCATCCTATCGGAAAAGGTACAAAAGTCACCAAATAAAAGCTGTGGAGTCAACAGCTGTGGAGTTTATGGTGGTTGGCTACCGTCCACAAATATAAATATGCACTCTGCATGGCTTTTTAGAATGGCGAGTCCAAAAATTCACTTTGCTGCACATCTTCCTTTTGGTCTACATGAAATTGCAAACACTGTTAATACATCAATTTTTTCATGTGCTAAAAATCGTACTTACCTAAAGGGCTACATGTCCGAAGTTATTGCTACGTGTTCCTAATTAATCAATCTTTGTATATTTATTGATTCCTACAAAATTGGCCATGTAATAT